ACTGGAAACTCTCAGCAGATCAGGACAGCATCTGTGAAGAGAAGCAATGTTGACAATCCAGATCGTTGTCCGGAAGTAATATGTTAACTCTTCCACTTCCCTTAATTTCTGTATTTCTGCATTTACATTTACTAATTACATTTATGATTCTCATTTCTAATTGAGGAGGATTTCAAATGGCAAGGGAACTGCAATCCATTCACTTTCAGGCCTCTCACACACCCCGCTCTGTACTTGTGTTCTCCACCTCCTCACACATCACACTCTACACTCCTCACACTGTTTCATTTCCCCTCTCCTTACACATTTTAACCTGTCAGTGAGGCCAGGAAGGCTATAAAAAGGTTGGGGAAGGGGAGTGGCAGAATGCCTATTCCCCCGGTCATAAAGGCATACTCAGAGGCAAATTAAGCTACTTTGGTCGTGGTTTAAAGGCCACATTTTCCTGCTTGCATTTTATCAGTGGCAGGTGGACCTTTCCAGTGACCTTAGATAGGGGGATGGCTTACGTTTCTGGGCACTTTTCTACCCACACAGGGTGCCCCCTGTGCACAATACTTCCCCCCCCCAAAAAAAAAGGTGCCACCACATCTTACCAATTACCTGCAGCCTTGGCACTTCCCCAGACCTCACCTACCTGATTAGGAGGGTGGCAGGGCTATCACACACTGTTCTTGTGGATACCTCTCTGGTAATGGTCACTGTTCCCAGCACTGCTGCTGCTGGTGACTATTCCTCAGGAAGGCGACCATGCTTTATAAGGGGGGATAACCTGAGGGCAAGCAATTAGTCAATCTCCATTTCAAGCTGCTAGGCAACCTGCAGGTGGCTACAGAGTGGGTCACCATCACTCTCCCTTCAGCCCAAACCTCAAGTTCCATCTCTTCTGTAGGACCCCTGCTGTAAGAATAACATTCTGACTCTGGACTAATAAGTTTCCTTTCTGGGCGCAACAGTTCAGACTTTCAGGAGAATAGACAAAGTATGAAAGCAGCTGGAAGGATGTACAGTATGCAATGCTGGCCATAGACCATAAACAACCTTATAGATCCATGCATTTCACTCCAGGACATTTCTGCAACAGTTCCTCGGGGTAGTGTTCTAGGATCAATCATCTTCAACTGCTTCATCAAATGACTTTCCCTCCATCATAACATCAGAGACAGGAATGCTCACTGCTGATTGCACAATATCTAGCACCATTTGTGACTCTTTAGATATTGAAGGAGTCTTTTCCAAATTGCAGCAAGATCTGAAATGTATCCAGGCTGAGCTGATAAATGGCAAGTAACATTCACACTATACAATGCTTGGCAATGATCATCTCCATCAAGAGAGAATTTCATATCACCCCTTGATGTTCAATGGCATTACTATCACTGAATCCCCCATTATCAACATTCTGGGGGTGACTATTAACCAGAAGTTGTACCTGAACCAGCTTTATAAAGACTGTGGTTACAGAAGCAGGTCAAAGACTGGGAATTCTGCTCAAAGCTTGTGTACCATCTACAAGACAGAAGTCAAGAGTGTGATGGAATACTCTCCACTTGCCTGCATCAGTGCAGTTCAACAGGTCAAAGCAGCCTGCTTGACTTGCACAGTGGCAGCAGTGTGTACCATTTATGAGATGCATTACTGCAACTCACCCAGCATTAAACAACAGCAACTTCAAAAGCCAAGCCCTTAACCACCTAGAAGGACAAGGGCAGCAGATGCATGAAAACACCATCCACTTCAAGCTCCCCTCCAAACAACACTACCTTGGCTTGGAAACATGCCTGTGCCTTCACTATTGCTAGGGGAAATTCTGGAATTCCCTCCCTAACAGCATTGTGGGTGTACGCAACTAGTTTGCCAACATATTCTCAGGGGCCGTTAGGGATGGGCATTAAATGTTGGTTGAGCCAGAAATGCCCACATATTTTGAATAAATAAAAAATAATCCAGCAGGTCTGGCAGCATCTGTGAAGAAAAAATCAGAGTTAACATTTTGTGTCCAGTGACCCTTCCTCAAAACGTCAGTTTATATGCAGAAAACAGGGAGAGGGTGGGGCAGGGAGTAAATGATAGGATAGAGCCTAAAGAGAGAGAAGAACAGTTGGACAGACAAAGGAGATATTAATGATCTGGCTGGGAGGGTAAATAGTTGTTAATGGGGACTAATAGTGACTAACAATAGGTAGTGTGTAATGGCAGGCTATGTGATAACAAGGACTGCTGTGTGGGGTAGGGGGCTAGGACATAGGAGAGTTTAGGCCCTAAAATTATTGAACTCATCATTGAGTCTGGAGGGCTGCAGGGTCCCCAAGCGGAAAATGAGGTGGTGCTCTTCCAGTTTGCGGTGAGCTTTGCTGGAGCACTGCAGCAAACCAGAGACAGAGATGTTGGCCAGGGAACAGGGTGGTGTGTTAAAGTGGCAGGCAACAGGTAGCTCAGGTTTTTTCTTGCGAGTAGAACGTAGGTGTTCTGTGAAGCGGTCACCCAGTCTATACTTCGTTTCCCCAATGTAGAGGAGACCACATTGTGAGCAGTGAATGCAGTAGCTAGATTCTGGGAAGTGCAGGTGAAGTGTTGTTTCACCTGGAAGATATGCTTGGGCCCTTGGATACTGGGTAGGGAGGAGGTAAATGGGCAGGTGTTGTACCTTTGCCGGTTACAGGGGAAGGTGCTGTAGGGCTGTGGGGAGGTGTTGGGGGTGAAGGAAGTGTGGGCCAGGGTGTCCCGGAGGGAACAGTCCCTGCGGAAGGCAGACAAGGGAGGGGAGGGGAATATATATCTGGTGGTGGCATCTCGCTGGAGGTGGCAGAAATGGCATCTGATGATCCTCTGGATGTGGATGCTGGTGGGCCTACCTACCATCTCACCAGTATCCACATCTAGAAAATTACCTACCATCCTACCACACCTACTCGACACACCAGGCCTTGTTATCACATAGACTGCCATTACACACCCCCTGTTGTTAGTCACTAGCAGTTCCCATTAACTATTATTCACACTTCCAGTCTGATCGTTATCAAGTCCTTTGTCTGTCCAACTGTCTTTCTCTCTCTTAGGCTCTATCCTATCGTTTACTCCCTACCCCACACCCCTGCCTATTTTCTGCATATAAACTGACATTTTCCCAGTCACCATCAGTTCTGAGGAAAGGTCACTGGACCCAAAATGTTAACTCTGATTTTTTTCTTCACTGATGCTGCCAGACCTGCTGAGCTTTTCTAGCAACTTTGTTTTTGTTCCTGATTTATAGCATCCACAGTTCTTTTGGATTTTAAAAAAAACAATCCAGGGCTGGCAATCACACATTGTATCAATCCCATCCTCAAGCTCACCCCTCTCCACTCCTCTCACAGGTTCATTGGCTACTAAAGACATTTTCCCAAGTCCTGAAATTTCTGGACTGGGGATTTCTGAAATGAACTCCAAATAATTCCTGGAACGTTGCACTTATTACAAACCTTGTCTGAGAAGTCTAGGGTTCGCACCATTCTAAACTGACTCCCTCCAGGTCACTAAGGTTATGTTTCACTCCTTGTCTCTTGCCCTTTTCACCACGTGCTGTTTACCAAAAGACACATTTGTGACCAACTATCACTTGCAAGCTCACTGTTTCTCCAATCACATATCCCCTCTCTCCCAGTCCTGCTGTTCCTCCATTGACAGATCCTTTTTCTCCCAGTCCTATTGTTCTTCCATTCACATATCCCTTCTCCTCCAGTCCAGTTGTTCCTCCAATCACAGATCTCTTCTCTCCCAGACCCTGTTGTTCCTCCAATCATAGTCTCCTTTTCTTTTGTTCCCACTGTGCCTCCAACTATGGACACCTCCTCTCTATCTGCTTCCCCAACAATAGATGCTCTCCACTCTCAATCCCACTCTTCCTCCAACACAAATTCCCATTCTCCCATGTTTACTTCTGTGCTCTCCAGATTGTCTTGGTTATGCTGTTGTTCTTAAAAGTACAGTCCTGCCCCCTGCTTGCACCATCAGATGTGTGTACTGTGTTTATATCAATGAATAGGATGTTTAAAATTACTTTGCAATTGTGTACCCACACACCTTAAAGGTAACATTGCTTATATTATTTTATGTGATAATTTAAATGGGAGGGTCTTTGAATACTCATCTATTTGAAGCAGGGTCCTTTGACCAACACTATTGATCTGACAGCATACAGGTAACAGGTTGAGCTGGATCCTGAATTTTTTCCAAAGCATGTGCCACTGCCTCAATTATGTTGCAGTTTTAATTTTCGTTAACTTAAGCTAAACAATTTACCATGAATTCATTTGTTTTTAAGCAATTCTGTGTTGAAATCTTGACATTATATTTAAGCCCTATTTCTGTAGTGGATCTGTTAGCATCAGGAGTGAGAAAATGAAGGTCAACATTTTGACCTGGTCCCTCATTCGACACAACTTCACTCCATTAAGCAAACATCAGATCGGAGATCATATTGAATGCAATCAAGCTACAAGGACCAAACTTTGGCTTGTCAATACATCAGTGGTATGGCAAAATGGAACTTGAATTTCATAGGAATGTGAATAATTGACAATGTACCAAAATTGGAGAATCCCTATAGTGTGCAAAGAGGCCATTCAGCCCATCGAGTCCTGCACTGACCCTCTGAAGGTCCCGCTCAGATCTATCCCGGTAACCCTGCAATACTATGTCTAATCTACCTAGCCTGCACATCCCTGAATACGTGGCAATTTAGCACGGCCAATCCACCTAAGCTGTACATCTTTGGACTGTGGGAGGAAACTGGCAGAAACCCTGCGGACATGAGGAGAATGTGCGAACTCCACACAGACAGTCACCCAAGGCTGGAATTGAGCCTGGGTCTTTGGCGCTGTGAAGCAGTACAAACGCTGTGCTGCTCAAAAATATTCCATGTACCAAATTTTTAACGGCTGTCACACTGAGACATTCATGTTTCAATGAGGAATAATATCAATTTTTGGCATATTTTAACCAGGTCTAGTTAATCCTACCTGATTTTGTAAGTGGGTGTGTTACAACCTGCCTCGTAATTTTATTGTCAGAAGATTTCAACAACAGGACTACATCTGCTGGCAAAGTGTCTCGATTCTTTGCTAGAAAGCCACCAGCGTTGTAAAGAACCTGCAATATTAAAGAGAAAGCAACAAATAGGTCATCACTATCACAAGTAAGGACAAATGCTTGACTTTTTAGGTAACAAAAGTTTCATTTCTAAGGATTTTGTTAAAGAAGTTTCAGTGTAGAATCATTTACGCTTCATCCGTTATGTGAATGATGACTCATTCGAGGATAAAGACATTTAACAGATAATAGCTATCATTTGTTTCCAGATTATAGATGAACTTACTCACGAAGCAGTGATGTTTGCTGTAAGTAGGCGTACACAATGTACATAATTTTTTTTAGGGGAACAATGGTACAAGCAGTGGATTGATTTTGAAATTGCGTAATTGCGGTACACCAGAATGATCCTGAGAATTGGTCAGATGCATCAAATAACAAACAGAGAATGCAGCGCAATTGTCCATTTCTTTCAGATAGCTTTTCCTTTCATCTTCAGAACAAATAATTCTATAATAACAGTAATAAAAATTTACCCTATGCTACTGGTGATCTTTGTTTGAGGGCTAGGATCAAGCTCAAGTTTAAAGTTAGATTTAGGTTTAGGGTTATAGATTGGGTTAGGGTTATATGATTGGAGTATAATATAAAGTGATTGGAAAATGAATCTAAATCATTATCAATGAACTGTCACAGAACAAAATGATTTCTGATCTTTATTGAACAATCTTTGATAACTAAACAGAAATGTTATCTTATGACATTAAACATCTAACAGCTTCAGCCGAGATACAAATTGTTATGATCTATTAAATGGTAGAAAGGGCTGCAGGACTGAATGCCTTACACCTGCTCCTAAAGTTCTTTAAAAATCTACAATTATCCTAAACAGTCATAGTCACATCACTGCCTATTACAGAGACATAGAGTATGGATTTTTTTAGGTTTTCGCAAAGGTTTGTAGCTGGGGTTGTGGGTGAGGTTGTTGACTTGCTCACCGAGCTGGCTTGTTCTCGTTCAGACATTTCGTCACCATGCTAGGTAACAGCATCAGTGAGGCCTCCAATGAAGCGCTATTGTTCTACTCTGCTTGGAATTTACATTGTCTGGTCTGTTATGGTGAGTTGTGTAATTTCTGGTTTCGTTCTGTGAGGGTTTGTAGATGGGGTCCAATTCTGTATGTTTGTTGATTGCATTATGGGTGGAGAACCATGCCTCCAGGAATTCGTGTGCATGTCCATGTTTGGCTTGGGCTACTATGGTTACGTTGTCCTAGTTAAACTGATGGCCTTCATTGTCTGAATGTGTAGATATTAAGCAGAGTTCATCGTGCCGTTTTGCAGCTAGCTGATGTTCACGTGTTCTGATAAGAACATAAGAACGAGGAGCAGGAGTAGGCCGTCTGGCCCTTTGAGCCTGCTCCGCCATTCAATAAGATCATGGCTGATCCTTTCATGGACTCAGATCCACTTACCCGCGTTCTCACCATATCCCTTAATTCCTTTATTGTTCAAAAAAAATCTACCTTTTTTAAAAAACATTTACTGAAGTAGCGTCAACTACTTCACTGGGCAAGGAATTCCATAGGTTAACAACCCTCCGGGTGAAGAAATTCCTTCTCAGTTCAGTCCTAAATCTGCTCCCTCTAATCTTGAGGCTATGCCCTCTTGTCCTAGCTTCACCTGCCAGTGGAAACATCCTCTCTACTTCTATCTTATCTATCCCCTTCATAATTTTATATGTTTCTATAAGATCCCCCCTCAATCTTCTGAATTCCAATGAATATAATCCCAATCTACTCAGTCTCTCCTCATAAGCTAACCCCCTCAACTCCGGAATCAACATAGTGAACCTCCTTTGCACCCCCTCCAGTGCCAGTACATCCTTTCTCAAGTAAGGAGACCAAAACTGCACACGGTACTCCAGGTGTGGCCTCACCAGCACCTTGTACAGCTGCAACATAACCTCTCTGCTTTTAATTTCAATCCCTTTAGCAATGAAGGACAAAATTCCATTTGCCTTCCTAATTACTTGTTGTACCTGCAGACCTACCTTCTGTGATTCATGCACAAGGGCACCCAGGTCCCTCTGCATAGCAGCATGCTGCAACTTTTTACCATTCAAGTAATAATCCTTTTTACTATTACACCTACCAAAATGTATGACTTCACATTTATTTACATTGTATTCCATCTGCCAGACCTTTGCCCACTCACTCAATGTATCTATGTTCCTCTGCAAAGTTTCGCAGTCCTCTGCACAGTTTGCTTTGCCACTCATCTTAGTGTCATCTGCAAACTTTGACACCCTACACGTGGTCCCCAACTCCAAATCATCTATATAAATTGTAAATAATTGCGGTCCCAACACCGATCCCTGAGGCACACCACTAGTCACTGACTGCCAGCTGGAATAGCACTCATTTATCCCCACTCTTTGCTTCCTGTTAGTCAACCAATCCTCTATCCATGCTAATACTTTACCCTTAATGCCATGCATCTTTATCTTATGCAGTAGCCTCTTGTGCGGCACCTTGTCAAAGGCCTTTTGGAAGTCCAGGTACACCACATCCACTGGGTTCCCATTGTCCACCTCGCTCGTAATGTCTTCATAGAATTCCAAAAGATTTGTCAAGCATGACCTGCCCTTCATGAACCCATGCTGCGTCTGCCCAATGGGACAATTTCTATCAAGATGCCTTGCTATTTCTTCCTTGATAATAGACTCAAGCATCTTCCCCACTACAGAGGTTAAGCTAACCGGTCTATAATTCCCCATCTTTTGTCTACTTCCCTTTTTAAACAGTGGCGTCACATTTGCTGTTTTCCAATCTGCTGGGACTGCCCCAGAGTCCAGCGAATTTTGGAAAATTACCGCCAGTGCACCTGCTATTTCTCCCGCCATCTCTTTTAGTACCCTGGAATGCATTCCATCAGGGCCAGGAGACTTATCAATCCTTAGCTCCATTAGCTTGCCCAAGACTACCTCTTCCGTAATAATGATTGTTTCCAGGTCCTCACCTACCTTCGTCTCTTTGTCAATTACTGGCATGTTATTAGTGTCCTCCACTGTGAAGACCGATACAAAATACCTGTTCAATGCCACGGCCATTTCATCATATCCCATAACTAAATTCCCCTTCTCATGCTCTAAAGGGCCAACGTTTACTTTAGCCACTCTTTTTCGTTTTATATATTTATAGAAACTTTTCCTTTCTGTCTTTATATTCTGTGCTAGTTTTTTCTCATGTTCTATCTTACTTTTCATTATAGCTCTTTTTGTGGCTTTCTGTTGACCTTTAAAGTTTTCCCAGTCTTCTAGTTTCATGCTGTTTTTGGCCACTTTGTATGCCTTCTCTTTCAATTTGATAGCCTCCCTTATTTCTTTAGACACCCATGGCAGATTACCCCTTTTCTTACAGTCCTTCCTTTTTATCGGAATATACTTTTGCTGAGCACTTTGAAAGATTGCTTTGAAAGTCCTCCACTGCTCGTCAACTGTCCCACCATAAAATCTTTGTTTCCAGTTTACTTTCGCCAAGACCTCCCTCATTCTATTGTATTTCCCCTTGTTCAAGCACAGGACACTGGTATTGGATTTTATCTTCACACTCTCCATCTGTATTCTAAATTCAACCATACTGTGATCACTCCTTCCAAGAGGATCCCTAACTATGAGGTCATTAATTATTCCTGTCTCATTACACAGGACCAGATCTAGGATAGCTTGCTCCCGCGTCGGTTCCATTACATACTGTTCAAGAAAACTATCACGGATACACTCAACGAACTCCTCCTCAAGGCTACCCTGATGGTGAGTTTCCTTCCTGCCTATCCGATATAATGTTTGTGGCAGTCGTTCCATGGTATTTTGAAACCACGTTGGTTCTGCATGTTGTGGGAATGGGGTCTTTAATCCTTGTAAGTGTTTGCCGTAGAGTGCCAGTGGGCTCGTTGGCCACCATGATTCCTCGTGCTTATAGGAGTCTTGTTGTCTGTTCTGACACATTCATGACATAGGGCAGTGTGGCCAGCGTGTTAGGGCATACTGTGTCCTCTTGTTGCCTACTTAGTAGGCACCTGCAGATGAAGTTGCAGGGATATCTGTTCATAGCGATGATTTTGTATAGGTGGTCTTCCTCTTTCCTGTGTAGTTCTGGTGTGTTGCAGTGAGTGGTGGCTTATTTAAGTAGTGTCCTAATACTGCTTTGTTTGTAAACATTGGGGTGGTTGCTGTGGAAATGGATGATTTGATCAGTATGGGTTGCTTTCCTGTATACTGAGGTTTGGAACTCCCCGTTGGTCATATGTTCAACTCTGACATCCAGAAACAAGCACACAAGCCCCCAGCCGTGCTACGACAAACACTCACAAGGATTAAAGACCCCATTCCCACAACATGCAGAACCAACCTAGTTTACAAAATACAATGCAATGACTGCCACAAACATTACATCGGACAGACAGGAAGGATACTTGCCATCAGAATACATGAATATCGGCGAGCAGGAAAACAACACAACAAATGTTCCCTAACATCAGTACACTCGGACAATGAAGGCCATCAGTTTAACTGGGACAATGTAACCATAGTAGCTCAAGCCAAAAATAGACACACACAGGAATTCCTGGAGGCATGATTCTCAACCCATAATGCATTCAACAAACATATAGAATTGGACCCCATATACAAAGCAATACAGAACAAAACCGGAAAAGATACAACTCACCATAACAGACGGGACAGTATAAATTCCAAGCGGAGTAGAACAACATCGCATCATCGGAGGCCTCACTGATGATGTCACCTAGCATGGTGACAAAATGTCTGAATGAAAACAAGTCAGCTCGGCCAGCAAGTCAACAACTTATACAGTATGGAAACAGACCCTTCGATCTAACTTGTCCATGCTGACCAGATATTCTAAATTAATCTAGTCCCATTTGCCAGTATTTGCCCTACATCCCTCTAAACCCTTCATATTCATATAGCCATCCAGATGCCTTTTAAATGTTGTAATTGTACCAACCTCCACCACCTCCTCTGGCAGCTCGTTCTGT